CTTATCTATCTCCTGAGAAACCTATACATGGGACAGGAAGCAACAGTTAGAACTGGATATGGAACAACTTATTGGTTCAAAATTGGGAAAGGAGTATGACAAGGCTGTATACTGTCTCCCAGCTTATTTAACTTATATGCAGAATACATCATGCGAAAGGCAGGACTGGAGGAATCCCAAGCCGGAATTAAGATTGCTTGAATGAATGAATGAATATCAACAACCTCCGATATGCAGATGATACCACTCTGATGGCAGAAAGTGGGGAGGAATTAAAGAACCTCTTAATGAGGGTGAAAGAGGAGAGTGCCAAAAATGGTCTGAACCTTAACATCAAAAACACCATGATCATAACCACTGGTCCCATCACCTCCTGGCAAGTAGAAGGAGAAAATATGGAGGCAGTGACAAATTTTACTTTCTTGGGCTCCATGATCACTGCAGATGGTGACAGCTGTCACAAAATTAAAAGACGCCTGCTTCTTGGGAGGAAAGCAATGACAGACCTAGACATCAAGGAGAACAAACCTATCTGTTCTGAAGGGAATGAACCCTGAATGCTCACTGGAAGGACAGATCCTGAAGCTGAGGCTCCAGTACTTTGGCCATCTCATGAGAAGAGAAGACTCCTTGAAAAAAACCTTGATGTTACGAAAGTGTGAAGGCAAGAGGAGAAGGGGATGACAGAGGATGAGATGGCTGGATAGTGTCATCGAAGCTACCAACATGAATTTGACTCAACTCTGGGAGGCAGTGGAAGACAGGAGGGCCTGGCGTGCTCTGCTCCATGGAGTCACGAAGTCGAACACGACTAAACTACAATAAAAATTCTTGGTTCAGAGTGGTTCACCTATATATAAATTATATATGTATGAGGCATTATATTGACCAATACTCTGATTTCTTTTAATTAAAAAAAGTACTACAACTAAGATGGACTTTTACTGTAAAACTTCCCTTCCTCTCAAAGATCAGGCGATTCCTATTAAAATGTGCCAGGATATATCTATTCCTACTGACTGAGAGCCTTGGTTTGCAAGAGCTGATTAGGAGTGTTAATGACATGACATTTTGGAGGTCACTCAATCATTCATAAGGTTGTAATACACTGGATGTGTCTTCATTGCACATAACAACAAACTGACTGTTTCCTTAATGTAGAAGCTTACACAGAAATCGGCAGACACAGAATCAGAACTACCTTTGAACCTTAAAAGTGCAAATATGGGATTAAGAAGCATATGTACTTCTGGGTTACAGCCACTTCACATGGCACAATACAAAGCATTAGCCTCATAGCACTAAAGAAATGAACATATTGATCAGAAAAGTATGATACACCTCTTCTTTATGGCATCCAAACTTGAATGTGCAGGGAGTCTGTGGTGTTGTCTGTAAGGGAGGCATTCCATCATACTTGCCTGTTATCTGGGGAAGTCTGAAGTAGTTACAACACAGATGGGGGTTTATCTCTTCAGATTATCTTATTTTATCTCAGCAGGCAGACACAAGATGCCCTAGTTCTCAAATTTAACTCTAAGGATCTGAGAATGGCCTATCCGCAAGCCCTGAGTATTATATTAACTGGTGTATTACACAACACACTCCAAATGAAGATATGCATTCCTGCTGCCTTATGGGAATGGAAAAGTAACAGCAAGGATTTACTGTGCCGAAAAAGTATACTTGGCAATGTAATACAGACTTAGAACTCCATCTAGTGGCATAAGAGAAAAAATACTTAGCATATGTATAAATCAATTCAAACTATTAACAGATCAAATATTAGCAATTATTACCCTGTTTCCTCGAAAAAAAAGACCTAACCTGAAAATAAGCCCTAGTATGATTTTTCAGGTTGCTCGTAATACAAGCCTTACCCCAAAAGTAAGCCCTAATTAAGTGAAACCCTGCCTTCCACCATTGTGCAGCACTGTGCAGCAACCAGAAGAAAACGACATGACTGTAACATCCCCTGAAAATAAGCCCTAATGCATTTTTGGAGCAAAAATTAATGTAAGACCCTGTCTTATTTTTGGGGAAACACTGTACTTCCATGAAACTCTACTGGCATAAGTTTTAATTGCATGGTGTAGAAATGTTGTTTGCAGAAATATGTCAGTCTACATGTTCTCTTAAACATTCTCTTCCCACTTGCAACTTCCCACAGCTACTCTCCTTACTTAACAATTAAGTTTCACCAAAGCCTTCTGTGATTTCTAACAGAAAATTAAGTGTTGCATGTGACAGAAACATAGGTCTTTTGGCGAGCCTTCGTGGCTTATAGACCCCGTCCCCATCGGTTTACATTAAACACAAAGGGATAAACTAGGAAACTGTATTTACCAGATTTCCGTTGCCGTCGGCCAAGTAAGTCAGTTACTGTCTTTTGGAATTTTTTAGCTTCTTCTTCATTAGCAAAATTAAGACCCACCTGACACGTCTGAAAAAACAACAACAGCCTGTAACATTCCTAAGAAACTGAATAAAATATATGCATGTTCTTATTTCTTGACATAAATCAGATTTGCTAACGTCCCACTGATATCAAAAGGTTTTAATATTACTGCTGACTTCAGTATATACTACATCCCCCCCGCCCCAGAATGTACTCACTGGCTTATATGTTAATGGTGGAAATCTTGTTGCATACATTGTACTACATAAGGCTAATGATGTTTGTTTGTTTGTTGCAGATGCTTGTATATCGTCCAACTTGGTGGCAAGCACTATTTTGGACAGTTGAGAATAAAAGGAACATATCACAACAAACCCAACACCACAAAAGCAATATTAAACAATACAAATTTTAAAAAAATCAACAATCAAGACCTATCTAAACCTAAATGATGGCAAGACCAGGTGACTCAAATACAGAGGATCTCCTTAAAAGCTTCTTTTGAAAAGCATGGTGGTTTAGGTATCTGGCCGCAAGGGCAGAAGCTGGGAATTTGATTCCCCACTTTACCTCCATGACAGGAGCTGGATTCGATGATCCATAGAGTCCTTTCCAGCTCTGCAGTTCCAAGATTATTATTATTAGCATCCTCTTGAAAGTTGGGAGAGAGGGAGCTTGGTGAAGCTCTAATGGGAGTCCATCCACAAGAATGGTGCAAGACTGAGAAGGCTTGATTTCTTCTGGAAGTCTTTTTCAATTTTTTTCCAAATTTTTCAAATATAAAACATTTCTGACCATCCCCTTCAAATGTCACAAGGCTCCGGTGGAATCCCTTTTACTGTCAGCAAGTCATTGGTGGGCCAAAGGACTGGAGGGAAAGTCTTTAATTACTGAAAACTACTGCCATGAAGATGACTATACCAGCAGGGGTAATTTTTGGTAATTAAAACCTTTCGTTGTCCAACAGTCCCCAAAGGCTTCCTGATGATAAAAGAGATCCGTGACCTTTGCGGGAGGAAAGCAGAAATGTATTATTTCCAAAAATTGCCATAGCTGATGCCATGATCAGCCTTACGTGCTGTACATTATGCAACAGAATATCAGCCAATGAAACCAAATCTGTGAAATAATGAAATAAGCTTTAATCATGAGTCATTAGGACAAAATGTACAGTTCTTGTATTATTGGACAATATAGGGCCTAAATATAACCTTATTAAGCAGCTTCACCTGTATTTATGGGCCATAAAAGAAGTATGTGATTTTAAAGAGAGAACTATTCAAATTGGCATAATAGTGAAATACTTACATCTCCAGCGAAGGTATGAAAATATGCTCTAGGACTATTATATACAAAATTATTATACAATTCTTGTTCCCACAATTGTTTTCCATCCTAAAAAAAGAAAAGAAAAAAAGATGTACACTCTCGAATCATAATATGAAATGAAATGATTACAACCAAATTCTAATGTGATTTCTGCAAATTAGGAAATTCTGGTTTTTTGCATCCTGTCTGACCACTCATTTTGGAAGTATGCTACCTGGATAACTCTGCATTATAGCCAAACAGTATGTATGTATGTATGTATGTATGTATGTATGTATGTATGTATGTATGTATGTATGTATGTATGTATGTATGTATGTATGTATAAATAAATAAATAAATAAATAAATAAATATTCTAAACTTCAAAAAGGCAAAAGGAAGAGCAGACCACTTAATACACTTGTTTCTAGATTTTGTCCTAATTAATTCAAACAGTACCTCATTGAATCAGGTGAATACTTTATTTTTTTGGGACAGCAGCTGATCTGAGGGACGACCTAAGGCTTACTCTCTATGATCATTTCCTCTCAAGTGTGTGATCTGGTACTCAGGTAAGATTGAGTCAGGTGAGGTATTTTTTTCTTGGGCATCCCTACACTCTCAGAGTAAACATTGGACTACATAGAGTTACAATGATGGATGTGGTAACAGTTGCTGCGTACAGTGATTTTGAAAAGCCATCCTGAGGACTCTTAGAGCCATGTTAGCCAGATAGACTGTTGTCATGACTTCAAATATTGCTTATGGTTGTATTCGTGTACTAATTCTCTCTATGCATACATTGTTACTATAGTAGTTGTAGTCCGAAGCCTCTGCATAGCCAAACAATCTCACTTGGCACTTACAACTGAGGTAATGTTGTGGAATACAACTGTTGGTATGCTCTCTTTGGAAGATTATCATATTTGTCTGAGGCATGGGCTTATCCATCCCTATTTAATTCATGTAACACAATTGTTTCATATCTAACTTATTTTATTTATTTATTTATTTAATTTATATGCTGCCCACACTGCCCAGAGGTCTCTGGGCGGCTTACAACAATTAAAATTCAATACAGTAAAAGATAAAATAATTAAAATACAATTAAAATACAACTATGTCTTTTTTGAGATGCAGCGACCAGAACCGTACTGGGTGCAGCCTTACCAGCGTTTTGTACAATGGCATAAAGCTGGTTGCTTTATTTTCAACCCCCTTTTTAATGATACCGAGCATGGAATTGGCCTTCTTCATTGCCGCCACACACTGGGTTGACACTTTCATCGAGCTGTCCACCAGCACACCAAGATCTCCTTGCTGATCCCTCACGGACAGCTCAGAACCCATTAACTGATAAATATAGTTTGATTTTTTGCCCCAACGTGCATTACTTTAAATTTTCTTATACTGAAACACATTTGCGATTTTGCCACCCATTCTCTCAGTTTGGAGAGATCTTTCTGGAGCTCTTCACAATCCCTTCAAGGCATGTATTTGTACAACAAAACCAACTAGCTGTGCAATTATTTATTTATTTTTCTTCAGCAGTTCTGAAGAGATGAGTTACACAGTAGTTTCTTCATTTGGCAACAAGAACTTCTGCAGCAAAAGCAAAACAGAAATATTTCATTTTGCATATGTTTCTTATGTATAATGGGCTCTGTGGCAGCACAGTGGTTATCTGTAGACAAGTCTCTGCTCAGACCCAGAGTTTGATCCCAATGGATTCAGGTAGCTGACTCCGCCTTCCATCTTTCCAAGGTCAATAAATTGAGTACTCAGCTCACGGGTGGGTGTTTGTGTGGCAATTTAATTCAATTGTAAACTACCTAGAGAGTGGTTTAAGAGCAATGCGATGCCAATATAAGCAGCACACTTTGCTTGCTTTTTACATTTGTATCAATACATATCATTATACAAGAAAAATATGTCTTTCTACAGAGTTAAACAATTCTTTAATATAGTTGCATTGAAATATACATTCTTCAGAAACATTTCAGAAAATTAAGCGGTAATGTCCAAAATTTTCTTGTATAACTTACACTAGCATAGTGGAAATGATATCACCACAGCAGTAGAATTTCTACCGCAATTCCTCATGTGATTTCTCACATGAAAAAGTAAAGTGGCTTCATGCATGGCAGAACCCAAGACTCCTTAATCAGCAGGTGAGTAGGGAAAATGACATCCCCTATGGCAATCACTACAGTACTTTTTGCTAATTAAAGTGTTCCAACGGATTCACGATTGCATGCAAAGCCCCTCAATTTGAATGCATTCTAGCAACACATAAGGAACTGTAGTGGGGATTTTAATCATTGGCAATCTGCCACTGTAGTAACATAATTTCCCCTACACAGTGTAAGTTACGCAAAAGGATTTTGGCCAATAAATACAGACATATATTAGAGATGAGAAAAAGATGACATCCTCACCTTGATATCATATACTCTGATAAAATATGACCTTTGTGGATTGTCTTTTACAAGGCAAGCTACGCCACAGCACTTCTTTGACCACATGGCATTGCGATCTGCTGCATAAATCTGAATAACTGCAGAGCACATTGTCTAAAAAGAGGAAAGGTCAAGAGATCTTTATCTTTAAGAGCTCCTTCTATCGCTACACATATTTTCATGAAGCATCTCAGGCAAAACAATCTCCTTCATTAGTTTGCAAAAATTTACTACTTATTAACCCCCACAAGAAGTCTAACCAGATATTACCTGTAACAAAGACTGAGAAAAGAAGGCTGCTGCATTTACAGTACTTGGTTAGCACTGAGTGTATTTTTAGACAAGGATCTGGTTAAGATATAGTGTAATTTTCAGACAATAATGCAACAGTGACCTTTGTTCAAAGGTGCAATAATACTTGGCTTGCTTCTCCTGGGGAGCAAGATTTCATGGAGACTCAGCAAACACCTGATTTAATGGAGACAAGAAAAATCCAAGGCTGAGCATGTTCAACAAAGCAAACTCTTGTTTAGACAGAAAATTGCTGTAGTCCCATGAAGCACTGAAGCAAGCATTCTGTATTGCTATTACATTTTTATTATTCTGTGGTTCAGATACCACTATTCAGTAATGCATATTAACTGTGAGCTGATTAGATCTGCAACCATCAAAGGCTTGAAGGAGGTGAAAATTAGTGACTGTAGTAACTTATAGTACAACCCTAATTGGTGAAGATGGCTGACATTAGGACAGTTAAAGTTGTGCTGAATCTGAACCTTTCCCAACCAAGATACCTGTATGATGGAAATTATGTTCACATCTTACCTTAACTTTGTGCTAGCATAGAGGTCATGAATCTAAGCTGAAATACTGTATTTTTCCTTGTATAAGATTATACTTTTGTCTAAAAACTTTAGACTGAAAATTGAGGGTCTTCTTATACACGGAAGTAAGCTGAGGAGAAAAACCAAGTGGGGGGGAAGCAGTGATTAAAGTGATCCTGCAGGGCTTTGATCCCTGCTTTCCCCTCCACTTGCTAAGCCTTAGCAAAAGGAAAGCAGGGATCAAATTGCTGCAGAATTGCTTTGATCCCTGCTTTCCTCTCTGCTTGCTAAGTCCCATGGGGCTTAGCGAAAGGAGGGGGGAAAGGATCAAAGCAATTCAGTGGCTCTATAAGGGGGAAAGGGATCAAAATGATTGTGCAGTCATGGAATTGCTTTGATCCCTTCCCCATCCTTTTGCTAAGCCACACAGGGCTTAGTACAAAGGGAGAAAGCAGGGATCAAAGCCATCATGCAGCACTTTGATCCTTTTTACCCCACATTTGCTAAGCCCCACTTAGATTTCTTAATTTTGGGTTAGAAAAGTAGGGGGGGCTTTTATACACAGAAAAACAGTAAATTTTGTATAACTCAGCTCCTTCTCTGATTTTTCTGGTTCTTCTGCCAGTTGATTTCAACCAGCACAGCAATCATGAGATTAACCAGCCTAAGAGGTTGTGCTAGTACAAGAGACTTCTGCCTAATTCAAACTTGCTACATCTAGTGGAGTTTAGACTGCACTGCCTGTCAAGTGACTCTGAGGATAACAGCAAAACTGAAAACAAAGAAGTCCTTTTATGCTTCTGAAAACTATTTCTTCTCTCTCATTTTTTCTTATGACATTGAATTGTGTGCTGCAGTACCTCCTCTGTACATTGTATGAGATTACAGAGTTCTACAAAGAACTCAGCTCCAAACACTAAAATAAACCCAATATTTGTGGCTTTTCCCCTATTATCTTTATCATTAACAATGATGCCAAAAAAATCTGCAAAAGTTAGGAGCCCATTTAGAAGAGGGATCACAAACTAAGAGGTAAGAATAAGAATAAACATCTTACTGCTCTGTTATGATCCCTATTCCTTTCTTTTTCCTCTCCAGAATGATCCAGGAAATGCTTAAAACAAAAATGTTAGTGCTCACATCAATCTGGAAGTTGTCACCTCTGATCTGAGAGCTTTTTCAACAGAGTTATAATTAAGTAGGCAAAGACCTGTTGTGGCATTAATTGGCCCCATAAATAGCTGCACAGATGAGTGAGGAAAAAGTGATTCCTGCCCCAAGAAGCAGGAAGCAATATCCTAACTGCCAACAGTGGTTGGGTACAGTACTTGGATATTTGTAAGCCTGTTTACTATGTTTGCTTTTATTATATAAAAAACAAACATTAACTATTCAACATAATTTATACATACATTGCAACTCTGGTTCTTCAAGACTGGATAGCATATGCCACTCCTACTCTCTCATTTCAGGGCGGAATCCTGTACACAATTTGGGATTTATTCTAAACAGGCTTTCCCTCCAAAGATTAGCAGTGTCAATATGAATCTATGACAATACTGTACATGAAAAATATATTGCACATTCTGACCAACAAATACACTGCCAGCTAGTACTAACATATTTATGTATTATATGTCATCAAGTTGCTTCCAACATATGGGAGGGCAGGGTTCAGTTGCGATAAGACTGGTCGGGTTTCGGAAGAGCTCCTGAAACTGACCAGGACCCCTTGGTTTCAAAGTTCCCAATTTTATTTATTTATTTAATTTATATCCGCCTATCTGATTGGGTCAGGACCACTCTAGGTGGCTAGAGGGTAGGGGGTAGGGGGAAAGCAATGTAGGGGGTAAAGGAAGGTCTGCTAAGAAAGCTGGTGTCTGAAGCAGCAGAGGTGACAGAAAGGTGAGAGAAGTTGGTGGAAGCTGCTCTCTCCCCCCCCCCCAAGTCTTTCTGAGTGCACAGATCGAGGTGGAAGCCATGTTGGGCAAAGAACTGGGAACACTCCTTGCAGAGAGTGGAGGAGTACAAAAGGATCTTGGAAAATATCCTGACCAGGACTCTAAGTAAGTCAAGATATCTTTTATGGACCTGAAACAATGACATGGAAGAAAACTGGACTTAACAAGTTAATGAAGTGGATTAGATCCTGCAACCCTTCGAGCCGCAGCAGAGTGAGCCTCCCCCCACATCCCTCAGCCTTGATTGGGGAAAGAAGAAGAAATGTTGTAATCAAAGGCGAAGACTCACTCCCGCGAAACAGTTTAATAATAAACTCTCTAATTGCAATGCTGATGGAGGAAATTTGAATCAGAAATAGAACTTTGGAACTCAAGAAGAGCCTTAGATTGTGTAACATCACCAGATTGGAGGCACTTCTTTTTCCTTGGTTTTCTTTGGCACCACGGTAGCAGCTTTGATTGGAGGACCTACCCCTAATTATTGAGGCCGGAGAGACAGACTGAACTGCTTGTTTATTAGATTTATATACCACCCATCTAGAACATATCTACTCTGGGTGGTTTACATACAACATAAAAATAAACTGAGGTAAATAAACTAATGTTACTTGCCTCAAGGCATTGTTTGTTATCTTAAACACTCATTGTTTTGACTGGTGGCTGTGAGAACATTTCAGTAAGAGAGAGAGAGGTGCTGACCTGCGTTTTGGATGGTCTAGATCAGGGGTCTCAAACATGCGGCCCGAGGGCCATTTGCACCCCCCCAGATGATAGTTTGTGGCCCTCGCCTTGCCTGCCCCCCCAAAGTGCCCACACATCCTCTGCTGTAAAGAGTAAAAAAAAGCCTCGCCTCGCTTGCCGGCTCTCTCCCAAGACAACACCTCTTGCCCCCTCCATCCAGAACTGCAGCCTGCCAGCCAGCCCACCTATCTGTCGGCTAAGGAAACTCCTGGGCGGCTTCCTCGGGCTCTTGCTCCGCTTGGTGGAAAATCTGATGTGGCCCAGCCTCACCCAGACTCTGCCTCTAGTGGCCCCCAGGTAAATTGAGTTTAAAACCCCTGGTCTAGATAAATAGTGTTGTTTGAATGAAATGTGGAGAAGCGGCGACACTTGCTGGAAAAGAAACCAGATAGTATCTTTAACAAATTTGGAAGATTAATCATTAAAAAAATTTGAAAGATGACAGCAAATGGAGGAAAGGAAAAGTCCCCAAGAGGTTCACCTGCACAGGAACAAAATCTGAAAGTATTGGGGCAAGAGACACTTAAGGATTGGCAACAAAACATTCAAAATATGTTATTCACAGGATTACAGCAGATACAAGGAGGAATGGCTCAGTTATCTGAAGAAATTAAAGATTTAGGGTCACAAATGACTGATATCAAACACAAATTATAGAAAATAAAAAGAAATAGCCAAAATACAAGAAACCTCAAGAAAAACAGGGAAAAAAGGAGATTATAAATGCAGAGCTGGTAGTGATGCAATATGAAAGAAAACAAGATGAAATCAACCTGCTAAATTTACAAATGTAGAAAACCAACCTCATATTTATCCAGAATCTATCAAAACAAAAAGATGAAGACACAGTGCAATTGGTAACTAACTTTTTAGCCCCACTTACAGAGATGCGACCAGAAGAAGGAAAGCCAAATATGGACACAGCACGAAGAATTAATACAGCATACACTAAGAATAACAAACTCCCCACAGAAATTCATGTTAAATTCATGGGAATGGTATTCGAGAAAAAGTTCTACGAAATATGCAAGATAAAGAATCCACTATAAAAGGAAAAGAAATTAAGATTTTGAAACATATTCCATGGCAAATAAGACAGAAAAGGAGACAATACACAGAGCCAACATATTTCTTGAGAACAAACTCAATTACATATACAGTGGGGCCTCGCATTATGATGTTAATTCATTCAAGCGAAATCGCTGTACAACGAAAACGTCGTAATGCGAAAATAAAAAGCCCATTGAAACGCACTGAACCCCCTTCAATGTGTTCCAATGGGCTGGAAACTCACTGTCCAGCGAAGATCCTCCGTAGGGCGGGCCTTTTCGGTGCCTGTACAGCGAGGAATCTGTCCCAGAAAACAGCGGGGAGCCATTTTATTTACCCGGTGGCCATTTTGAAACCGCTGACCAGCTGTCCGAAAATCGTCATTTTGTGAAGAATCGGTTCCCGAAGCAGGGAACCGACCATCGCAAAGCGAAAAACCCCTATTCAGACCATCGTTTTGCGATCGCAAAAACGTCGTCATAATGCAGTTTCGTCGTAGTGTGGGGCAATCGTAAAGCGGGGCACGACTGTAAGTGGT